AATCTTAAAATCAATGTTTGGTTGAAAAAAATGTGACCAGCAGTGGTAAAATAATGGAAAAAGATGCTTACACAGCTGACTAAATGGCTTTTTTTAAACACCTAAACATGATGGCTGGCAATCAGTGTGACATTTTTCCATGTTTTTTGTCAGAAGAAAGGATGTTGCAAGGCTCTTGATTACTTGTCTGAATACCCAAAGAGACTGGGGCAAACATTTCAAAAGAAAAAGGGGGTGGATTTTATGGATATACTTACCTCTGGACTATGAAATCATCAGAAAGAAAATGTAATATGCTCAAAGTATTCTGTTTGATTTGTAGGAGGGCAGAGACAAGAGGTTTTTGATGGAAAAAATGATTCAGGATGGTAAGAACACTGGTGATGTAGATGATGACTCATCTTCAGGGGAGACACAACACACAACACTGCGACCATCAAGCAACTTACAATTCTAGTGGAAGTAAATAATTACTATTATTATTTATACTTGTCTTCAGGGTCTCTGGAACATTTCTTAGGGAGTGTCATTGTAAAACATTGCGTGGCTTTATTTAACATTATTTTTCTTCTTGAGAATATTAATTAGTCATGTATTTTAGAGGCCAATTATTTTATTTTCTGGTCAAGGAAATATTTATGAAAAAGTAGCTCTATTTGAAGTATTGAGTACAGTGTATATAGGTAATACTGTTGTAAGGGTGTACATGACCCTGTGCTTGTTTAGCCATGAATGAGCTTAATTATTCCCAGGAGCTACTGCTGTTTGCTACTCTGCAATTCATATAAAAAGTATCAAGCTTGTGTAAATTTTTTAATGCTACTTCGGTGTGACATGAGGTATTTTGAAGATAATCATGAGTATTTTTCTACAGCAGAGTTTTTCTATTCCAGACAGTAAGTGATATGTATACATATTTAATGTGCAGTTAGATTTTGGGCAGTTTATGATTTCATTGTGTTTTTTAAGAATCTAGTATTTTTTTTAGCTGACAAAATTAATTGACTCATGTGCATATCTTGATTGCACATTCCTCAACCTCAGGGCTTATTATTATCAAGGTTTACGTTATGTCTAATCTTGCTCAGGATATAATTATATTTTCTCAGGGTCTTTAAGGAGAGGTATGCTTCAGAAACCATCTGATTGTCATTCCTTCCTACTGAAAAGTTTGACACTGGCCATATTCTTAGATCCCAAACAGAAACCAAACCTTTTGCAAAAATTATCTTTACATGCACCAAAATTTATGCTACAGATGCCTCAATCTTAAATCTTGCTTTATAGTGACCTCGCTGCGTACTGGTAAAGTGCTCAGTCTTAATCCTCTCCCTTTTTTTTATCTCTTGGAGATTGCAGCATTGAGTGACACAAAAAGAAACTCTTGACTTCAATAGTGCTTGTTTTCAGGATAACTAGACCAGCTGAGGTCAACCCTATTACTGAGTTGCTTTCAACGTAACCACTGTATACTAATTTCTATAAGATTTGATTACAGAATCTTAAACTGCATGAAGAGCTTAATCTGTATAAACACATATAGTTGAAGGCAATAAAAATTTACGTGGTTTCTGGCCTGAGGCAGACTTCTCCTTTCACATGACACCTTGGAGATAAATCTTTTTCCTACCTAATGTGTACAAAAACTGTAAATAGTGGATGGTATTAGTAAGATTCCTTTGGCAAGAAATTTTGCAACTTTTGACTCCTTCATTAAACATCCTTCATTCAAATCTCAAGCCTCATGTAATCTATGCAATGATTGTGTTCCTTTGTTTATTTTCACAATCATTTAACCTCAGTTGTACATAAGCTGTTGGAGATGTACCTTGAAGATTTTGAAAAGTTGTTTGTTTTTGAAAAGAGTCAACTGTGCCATCGAGATAAGAATATTTTAAGTAAATTTTTAGTGGTTGGATTAGTGCTGGGCACTCAAATAACCATTGAGCTGAACATTATTTAACAAGGTGTTAGCTGGGGTAGCTTTCAATAAAGCCTATGGTATTTTATTCTGAATTTTTTGTCTTCAGCTCTTGTTCTTTTACTGAAAACAAGCACAAAAACAGTTCATAAAGAGACACTTTCTAAATCTGTTGAGGTGTGCCCTCCAGAGGGCAAAAGCTAAAAAAAGATAAAAATAATTAGTCAAGAAAATGAATTACTGAAATGATAGCAGAGTTGAACAAGATGCATCAAATATCTCTATTTTGGAGAAAAAATAAGATGCTACTCATGTCTCAGCAGCTGAATTCTAAAGCTGCATTCAAGTCATTTGATAAAAGACAGTTCAGGCAAGTCTATCATACTCTGTAATTGAGGGAAATAATTATTGTGAACAAAAGTTTCAATTTCATGTAAAATCAATAGCACATATTCTGATAATCCTTTGAGTTTTGAGGAGAATGAGGCAGTAATTCTTTTCACAGAAAACTGTCAACTTAAAACAATTTACCACAATGACTGCCATTAAAATTCAAATGAACATCAAATGAACATTGACAACATCAACTAGACACAAACCAATCCCAGTGTTTTCAGAAATATTTATTATCTGCCAAAAAAAATTCTCTGAGTGTGAATTTCATTTACCCATTTCAAGAGACATCTACCTTTTTGCAGAACAAAAATAAAGTGCAATATTAATAGTAAATGGTGGGATGGTAGTGGCTGAGTGGAAAACAAGACAAGTTTGGGTTGTACCACTTCCTTTTTTTTGCTCAGCCACTACATATACTTTGGCGCTATCTGTTTAGTTTTCTATGTTTTGCTTACTGAATGCCTGGAACCATGCAGCAATAGTAGCACAAGATTAAGCTCAAACTAAATGACTAACATTTTTCAACATGTATGTAAAATAAATATAACAAAAATTTCTAGCGAGAGATCCACTCCACAAATTAAGTGTCAATTGCTAATATTTCATCTGGTTCCAGTCATAAGTCTTACTTGCATACTTACTGTAACACCACAGATGGATTGTGTGAGATAATTGATGCACAATAATGATAATAACACATTTATATAACACATTCTCCATGTTATTATGCTCTAATCAACAATCATTCCAGGAGCATGCATTGGGTATGAGATGGTAGTTAGCCAACTTGGCCCACATAATCATCTCATATCCAACACACCTGAATGAAGTTATTGTTTTATTAAAAAAGCCCCAAAAAATAACCATTTTTTTCTCAGTTCATGAGTGGGCAGTATTCTACAAATCCTGCAATCTGACTGGTTCTGAGAGTGGTCAGTATTCTCCCCATCTAGCCCACTCACAGCGGGCGGTACCTGAAAAAATGTTTTGAAGTTTTCTTGGAAGCCTTTTAAATCACCTTTTAATATCATTACGCAAATAAAAATGTTTTGATGCAAAACTTATCTCTTTCATTTGCATTGCCCTTGTTTTCTCTACCATCTACTCGCTCATAAATTGTTCCATTTATGGAGAATCTTGTTGTAATTACAACCCTTCATCATTCAGGTTCTTTTTGCAACCATTTGTTAGGTTTTAGAAAAAAATAAAAATGTTATTCACCAGCCAAGGTTGGTCTTTATTGGGAAAAACTGTGCCCTCTGTCTTGTGTACCATCTGAGGCCCAAGATTTCAGGCACAGTTTTCCCAATACAAACCAACCTTGGCTGGTGAATAACATATATATCTCTCTAACTTTTTTTTTTTACAAACAAAGCCAATGTTACAATTTACAAATACCTTTAGTTTAACTCATCTTCATCTGCAGGCATGGTATAATGGCTCATAACCCAAGGTGGGTAAGCCGATGAAAACTCTCGAATAGCTCTATCAAATGATCCAGTTTTTAATATTGTGCTTTACAACATTTTTAACAAAAAAAACTAAAGAAACATTTAACCCATTGACTCCTACGTGTAACACGTGCCTACCCAAAAGTTAAAATTTTGGAGAAACCGGAAAAGTAAACACAATGCGCAGTAAAGTTTGACAAATCTTTTTTTTCCCAAAAACAAGCTCACGTGAAAGAAGACCATTTAAATAACTTACTATCAACGAGGAAAGCAATAGATGCATATTAAGTTTTTACTCTAAAATCAAGATAAAAGATAAAAATCAGTAAATTTTTGCGCACGTGTGCAAAAAAAGTATGCGGATCGGATTTCAAAGTGAATATGCAAATTCATCAGTGTGTGGAGAGATCTCATGTCACATGGAAATTATAAATGAGGAGAAAGACAAAACTGACCAAGGAACGTTTCGGGAAGAAAGCTTTATTCAAAACAGTTCTTGATTTTCTGTTAGAACCGAAAAACGTACGAATTTCTTACGTGTGCGAAACCCACGAAGTAGAATTCATCATGCTTAGATCGATGTTTACTTGACTTCACGGCTAGAATATTGCGCAGCGTTGTGTTGAAAATACTGAAAGTTCTACGTTTTAACACAAAATCTTCTATTAAACAATACTTTTTGGACATCTCATTACTCAAACGTGATATTTACCGTGCCTTTGAATCTTCATAATGTCTCTAGGCCTCGCTTGAAGTCCGATAGTTTGGTTTTCGCTTTACGGCCCTAATTCGCATCGCTTTAGAGAATTGTAGTGTTGTCGACTCGAAAGCTTATTTTGTCGCCTTTAAGACCGTGATGTCCATTATTTTTCGAGCAGATTATTCTATAGCATTTTTCCTTTTCATTCTGTGTTCCAGAAGGTCTAAAGTGGTGGGAAAGGAACAGAAAATCCGACTTGAAAATATTGAAAGTCGGCCGCGCGTACGCCATTTCTTTGTAGTTGATCATTTCTTATGAACGCATAAAATGACGCCTCTGTACTACCCCCTAAAGTTATCAAAATAACTGCGCAAAAAACGGATTCTGATTGGTTTATAGATCCTCTAACAACAGAGGAAGTTTGGAGACAAAATTCTGCTTAGTAGGGGAGATAGGGGGGAAAGCGTCTCTCGCGCAAGTCCCCCACGCGGCACGGGCGGTTACGGGCGGTTCAGGTGTCAATGGGTTAACCAATATTTTGGACCCTTCTCTTCAACAACCAGGAGTGAAGTTTTGTGAAATAATTCAAAGTAATGGTAGGTTGGTGCCAAAAGATTTATGGCATGTGGAGAGCTGGTTATTTTTGATCTGGATTCTGCAGATTATCTTCCATGGTCACAGCATTTTTGTAAATATATATTTTCCTATTCCATTTAGCAGTTAAATAGTTTCAATCATCCAAGTACACTCCATATTCCTTCCTTAACCTGATCTGCAAATTAAAATGGAATTACAAAATTTTTAAATAAATTATCAAATGAATGAGCTATTCATCTGAAGAAAGGGAACTGTACTGACATTGTTAGGCTGGATAATCAACCGCAGTTAAGGAGATGAACTCCACAACAATGTCAGTGTACACACACGCATGTTTAAGCATCTAGTTCCCACGTCAAGAAAATAGCCTCTTTGATGATATTCACCATTTGAACCTCCATTCAGCGAGCACTTTACCTCGGATGCCAAAGCAACATGTCCAAAGTTTCATTACACGGTAGAAGTGTACTGTTAAGTCTGTTAGAATTGATATGGTAACGGTGAACTTACAGTTGCTTTACGGTAACAATTCCAGTATTCTCTTTGTTTTACACTACACGCACTAAACCAGCTTTGTTTCATGCATCTGTGAACGGCTTTATTCTCTTCCGCACAAGCCTCCATAGCCCTAAAAATGAACAAATCAAGAAATCCATGAAAAATAATCTTGACCAAACCGTGATGTCGATCGAAGTCAAAACCAACATTAACTTTTTCATCCATAATATGAGACACTACCTCATAGATTCCCATGAAATCACTTACATAGCTTTGACCACATATCGAATTAAATCCTTGTCACTCTTTGGCTCCACACTTGAATTTAACCGGCCTCTAACAAAAACATTCTTGGAGAAAGCATTGTCCAGTTTCTCCATAAGTTCGTCCATGTTTGGTCAATTTCATCCCGTATACTCCCCAGACAATTTTGATGTTAGCTCCTTCTACTCTCCCCTGAGTAATCGTTTGTTCTAATGGCGGCCAAAGTGGCAAGAGACTAAGAAAAGACCTCTCTCGATAGGTATTGGCTCTAGTAGGGCCGTGTAAAGAAAATGTCTAGACAAAATGCCAGTGAAAGCTTCCGTCAGAAGGTTAAGCAGTTCTTTGGCGTGAAAAAGGGCCATGCTATCCCAAGTAGCGTTTATGAAGGTCCAAAAGCTGACGATCGAGTGTTCCACCATGAACTGCTGCAGGTAAGCTTTATCTATACCCCTGTGAAATTTTGTTGCGAGCTTAATAGATGAGCTGAGCTGAAGTAAATAGGTATTTGCTATTTTGCTCGTATTTGAATGTATATGAGGAATAGAGCGTGGTACTCTGAAAAAAAAAATTGATTGTAAAATGTTTCTAGTGTTTGACTTGCTATTGCACTGATGTAGGATATTGGCAAGAACAGTCCTTTAGCAAACCGTGTGAAGTACTTAAGGGATCTGTGTGACTTTCTGATCAATAAACGGGTGGAAGATGTGAGTATGATGTGTAGAATTGAGTTAAAAAATTTTACATTTTAGATACTGCCACTTAAATGTTTCCTCACATTCCGTTATTTGCCTCTGCTAATCTTGCGGCGTTGAAAAAACCAGGATCGGACCAGATCGGATCGGATCGGATCGGATCGGATCGGATCGGATCGGATCGGATCGGATCGATCAGACCGGATCGATCAGACCGGATCGATCAGACCGGATCGATCAGACCGGATCGGAAAAAATTGATCGGACCGGATTGGACCGGATCGGAACACGGATCGGATCCCCGATTAGACCGCAGATCGGATTACAAGGTTTTCTTTAAGGTTTTAATTAGCCGAAGTTCTTCTAAAGGTAAACGGTTGTGGGTCTCGAAATCCAATATGGCGGACAAAACGTCATATCGTTCGTACTTTCCTGCAACCGCAACAAGATTTGTCAAAAAAACAGTCCCCTTTAGAACGATTTTAAACTAACCTTAAGTCAGAAGTCTTTTTATGTTTTCAGAAAAGACAGGCAGTGCAAATTTATATTTTTATTGAGCCCAAATTTAGACCTGATAAACATCATCTTTGTACGGGCTCTTGAAGCAATAAAAGTAGCCGGCGAAACCTTGCAGAGAAGCCGGCGTACTTCGCCGGCTGCCGGCTCTTATCTACAACCCTGGGATTATGGTGTGAAAAAAAGTTTAGAGAAATTAAAAAAAAATCAATTTGTTTTTAAAATAGTAATTAGAAATAGAAAATAAGATTTAAAAAAATTTAAAGATGTTATTTTTTACTAGATATGTTGCGTGACAAGCTAAAATAGAGTCTAATGAATAGAGGGGGTAAGTTTCTGAATAACTGTGGTGCTGTGTCAGTGGGAGGGTATAGCAGGGTAATTTGGAATTATTGGCCGAGTTGATAATGTAAAAACAGCTGCCATCAGGATTTTTTAAGCCAATGTTTTGAGCATTAGCCCTTTTTCAGAGGGAATGACAAAGGGCTAATGCTTAAAATGTCAGCTTTTGAAGTCTTGATAGTGGCCAATTTACGTTATCAACTCAATTGATGATACCAAGTTATCTCAAAATAAAGTCTGCATTACATAATAGAGCAGATGTACAGGCCCTGGCCACTGGAATTTTTTCGCCCCATGCTTTCATGACTGTGTCGAGGAGTGTTGTGTAGTTCACCAGGGATGAAGGCAAGCAAGATGTACATATCATTTCATCAGTCAGTTATTATTTCTTTATTTCATCTCACGTGTTAATTTTTTTTATTCATTATAAAATAATTCAAATAGTATGCACGCTCTGATTGGCCATAAAACCATTTTACATGAGCATATGTAAACACGGTTTTTGTTCCTCTTTCATTAGTTATTTTATAAAAGAAATGTAAAATGGTTTCTGTGTTTACATAGCCTGATGTAAACACTTGGGAGGTTGGGAGAACACTCGATAAGCTGGAAACCACTCCACTTCATGTCATAATTTCCTATGCTTATTTCATGTTCTCCCAACCATGGAAAACATGGAAACCATTTTACATTTCTTCAATATCACTTAGCACATGCTAGAGAAGATGCAAGGAGAGGAATAAGAATGGTGTAGATATGAAAACTTAATTGCACATGAGCAATTAATGTACAGCAATTTTTATGTCACATAGATTTTATTTTGGCTTGTCAGGCAAAATTTACAATTCCAACTAACGTGTCTTATTTTTTCAATTGTATTTTCTATTCATTGTTATTCTAAATACAATTTGATTTTTCTATTTTTCAAACCTTTTTCTTTTGGTCTGTGATCTGTGATCTGATCCATGATCTAATCAAGTCCGATACAGGTTTTGTTGATGCTGCTCATCTTGCCCCTGCCACATCAAAGTATTTTTTGAACCTGGTCCATTAATTTGTTTTACAATGAAGAGCTTCTTTAGTTAGTGATCATGTCCATTATTCTTGTGACCTTTATGTTAAATTCAGGGGTGATATTGTAAGGAGAAATTAGATGCTAGTCACTTTTAGGGTCCAAGGGTTAATTTATACAGACTTTATGGTGTTTGGTTTTGCAGCATGCTATTGAAGCAGCTTGGGATGCAGTCAAGGACCTTCTTAATCCAAGCAACCCTACGGAGGCAAGACATCTCACTCTCCAGTTTCTGACAGTGATGATATCTGGACAGGTACTTGTCTTGATGGTTTCTTTACTGCAGATTCCTTTTGGTACAGAAGAAAGAGATAAATGTTGGGTCTGTCATTTACATGGTTTAGTTAACTTTTAGATTATCAATTTTTGCAGCACATACACATATACACATGCACTGCATGAAAGAAAATGTACTTTATTAAAAAAACAGTAACAAGGCAAAATGCATGTAGCTCAAGGAAGCCAATAAAAATTTTAATAAATAGACTAGCTAGTTACCATTCACCCTTTTGCACCTTAGCACCAGTATGCATATTCTCCATACTGGTGCATTCCTTAAAGTGCTGACTAGGAGAATTTGTTTAACAATCAATAGCTGTAACAAGCCAGAACGGGCAATGTAGAGGAGAACACATACAAAACCAAGATGTCGGACCAACAAGATATATTTAATATAAGAAGACAGATGTCGTCAGTGGACCACGAGGTCGTGACAGTGTCACGCAATATTGTTACAATAGCTTCAGTCTTTAATTGGTTATCATTTTCTTTTATCTTGTGACCTTAATGTTTGCTACAGAGGCAATATTGTAAGGAGAAAATAAATGTAAGTTATATTCATATTCGTCATTCTAAATTTGATTCTGTAATTGGCAGGACTGCTTACACACAAAAAGAGCCATTGGCTGGTTTTAAAAGGAATGGAAAAAAATCATTTTCTCCTTTCTGAATTATGCAAATCTTAAATAGAACAGTCAACATGTTTATTATCACTTCAGGTAGTTAAAGTTTAGTGTAATCACAACTGTATAGTTAATTCTTTTGGTGTTGAAATAGTTTCTGAATTAATTAAGCTTGATCATTGTTTTTTTCCTTCTTTTGCAGTTCAACAGGCTTGGTATTTTAAGGGCTCATTTCTTCTCTGTTGTGGTTAATCACAAGATTCCTGAGGACATCACACCCAGGTTTAAGCTATCAATGCTTACATTTAAAATCATGGCTATGATTATAATCTTGATGTGCAGCTATTTTATAAATACAATCTTTTGCTCTTATGATTGCCTCAATAAAAGAACCAGTTTTCAAAGTCTAAATTATTGGTAAACCATAACGTAATGTTGTTATAATAAATATGTATTTCAACTTCCTTTTTTCTTTTTGCAACAGTTGAGAGGAAAATAGATTGTCAAGAATGTAAATTTATCCAGGTCATCAGGAATTGCACTATAATTATTATTATTAATGACTATGATCTCCTTTATCATGCCTCAATAATGACTGCAGCTCAAGGATAAGGTGGTTCCCACATGGTGTATTTAGGACTGGTGTTGAGCTAAAAGTAGTTAAGTTTGACCATGTAAATTTGAAATTATTAGGTTGGAATTACTGCAAGCATTGAGTGATAATGGGAAAGACATTTCATACTTTGAGGAAAGGACTGGTAAGGAACTAATTTAAATCATTTAACTTTTAGTCACAGTGTCTAAAGTTTTCTGTGCTTGCACAGTTTTTGAGTCACTGTAGAGACTGTGCACCTTGTTCTGGTTGGTTTTACAATCCTTGGTATCACCTGATTGTCATCATACCTCATACCTTTAACCCTATAACTTCCATGATCTGACTGTTAATTCTCCCCTCTAGCTGCTACATATTTCCTTGTAAATTGGTAACGAGAATTTGGTGTCAGATCAAGATAACAACTTTGGCATGACATGTTTGCTGGATAATGTTTAGATATTGTTGGGTGTTCCCGTTGCCAAAAATATCCACCAAAACCAAAGTAGGAACAATTCTTGACTGTATTAGTTTCCAAATAAGCTTTACAATCATATACAGGTGACCATCCAAAAATTGTACAAGCGAACACAAAAAAGAGACAAAACCATGTGCTCACATCCAGGTTTTTTTTACACTTAATCATTTCATCTAAGCGTCACTAAAATGTTTCATTTGAAAATTGAATAAACAGTGTCACATCCATTTCCGGCTGTAACATAGGGAGAAGTTACTTGTTAATCACTTGAGGGAATTAAAGGGTTAAGGCTCAGATATGAATGAAGGGTTACAATAAAATCTGATTAGTGGTGGCCTGTAACACTTCTCACTGCTGTCTGTTTAGCCTGCAAGCTGGCTCTAATGTTTGGGTTTTTGCCTCACCACACAGCTGCCTTAACCCTTTACATCCTAACATCAGTATCTTTATTCTCCTTACTCTTTTCTATACATTTCCTTCAGCACTGACAATGAGAATTTGTTTAAAGATTAAAGCTTCTTTGGGTGACAATCATTTCCTTTATTCTCATGGTCTTAAGTAATGATTCAGCCACATTACTGTAAGGAGAAATTAGATGTTGGTCACTCTCAGGGTTTAAAGGGTTAATTACACCATTGGCAGCTGGTTATGGAAAAAAAAGTTATTGAAATCCCTGTATTGAATGATATATATTTGAAGGTGTGATGTATATGATGTAGTTTGAAATATGGTTGATTCTTTGGGTGTAATACAGATGTCTTATTTGCCAAAACTATTTCACAACTTCTCTTAAATCTTTATATTATTCTTTCTTGATTTTGGAAAGGTCCTTTTCTGTTATCTTGGATGCCAGAAGTGATGCAAAAAGGCAGGTCAGTATTTATCATTTACCTTCAGGTCTCTTTGTAAGAAAAGAACTTCTAATAATTATTAATATTACTTTAATATTACTGTTTGTGCCAAATGCAGCAAAAATCAAAGAGATTATTTTCAGTTTTGGAATGTTCATCCATTAACTCTTGTTGCAGTAGAACCTCACTGACTCAAACTCCCCAGGGATACAAAAAATGGTTTGAATTAGAGAGGGTTTGAGTTAGCTGTTTGTATATAACTGAGAAAGTGGGTCAAGGGTGGTCAGATCTTGTTTGAGGTACTGGGGGGAGAGGGGTTTGAGTGAGCTCAGTTTGAGTTAGTGGTGTGTTCTACTGTAAATTTTTATCACACTGTGCAACCAATATTCAGTTGTAGCTCTCCATTTCCCATGAGTGAAAGAACTCGCACATCATTAAAATCTTTGTCAAAGCTGTAGCTCGTGTTTTAAGCAGGTCTTACCTTCTGATGTTTGAAATGTTTCTAGAAGATGTGACAACCTTCTTTTTCTAGAGGACTGATTAGTTGTTTCTTTGTTATCTCATAGTATTTTTAACTAATGGTCTTGATATTATTTCATTTTTGCTTATACCCACAGAATGATTTTTTTCATGCCTCTCCTTATCAATGTAATTCACTACAACTCAAGTTTCCTTGATGAGGATATCATCTCTGGCATTGTCAGGTAATCTGATTGTAGCACATGTGCCTTTCAAGTACTGAGGAAGAAAACAAAAAAAATGTTTTACATAATTCAAATCATTGACACATGCAAATCTCCTTGTAGCTTAAAAGACTGGTTTTCTTTGAGCCCAGCAATAATCATACAACATCATACAACTACCTACATTTACTTGCCTTCTAGAAGGCCTTCATGATAAGTACTTTTGCATGAGTGTTTCTTGGCTGGCAGGGAAAGTATGGGGCCTTCAGCAATGCAATCTAGCAAGAGGCCTACCGGGGATCCAGCACTAATTTTTGATGCCAGAACCCTAGCAAACATCTCCCAGACACACCTCAAATCTTCCTGGGGTCAAAGAAATGCAGGTCTAGCAGCACTACTAATCAGGGCCTGCTTACACACTACCCATTTCCCAAATGCTTTGTCATCTTTTCTAGCCTGGGTCTTGTGCACTGATTGGCACAACTGAATTTAGGTAGCATTATTCAATGATTGTCTGCCATAATATGGTAACCATAGTCACACTATAATGATACTTATTTTGCATTTTTATAATTTTTTCCTGCCAGGCAAACCTGTCATCTTTCAAGAACAACTAAAGAGGAAGGAGAAGTTGAGGTTATTGTAATTTTTTTATCATCCAAATGCACTATAAAGCTTAAACTGTGATATCAAGGACCCTGCTCTGATACAAGGGGTGGCAAACAGTAAATTTGAGTCTTGTGAGATATCAGGACCCCTGTTTTAAAATCTGAGATGGTGCCCAACCAAATTGCCACTTGTTCATGATGAAGGGCTAATATTCTCAACAAAAGCTCTAGAAACTCTTTGCAGTGGCCAACTTTCATTTATTTATCAACTCTGTTGATAAAACCATATCATCTTGTTATACCCCACTAATGCAGCACCAACATTTCATTTAATGTTTATAAACTTACCCCCTTTATGCCAGTTGTAGCTACACAACTCCTTCCTTCTTCAATTTTATGATGTGAAAATTATTTCCACACTAGTTTTGTGTTATTAACTTTTATTCTGTAGCTGTGCCTGTGTTTGCTGGATGCTGTGGTCCGTTACAGTTGTCTGCCGTCCAATACATTGTTTGAGTTCATAGCCACAGCCTGCCGGGCTGTTAACATCGAAAAGTTTTGTCAGCGCAGCTGGAAGGTGATTGAACTGTCAAGAGACCTAACTAAAGGCTGCATGTACTTTTTCAATATCTGAGAAATACTATTGCTCAAATGTTTTTTAGGGAAAAAGGAAGGATTTTTTTGATTCATTCACTTGACCAGTGATTTTTTTCTTTTTGCGCTGCAGTTGACTCTAGCTGAATTATATGGTTATGATAATACGCCCACACAATTCTTGTTGTGTCTCTCCTTTGCAAATCATGATTTTACCGCAAAATCTTAGTCATTTTTCAGCAGGAGTGGGGGGTGCAATTGTTGTCTGGGGAAGCTCAAAATGTGTTTCTTGCAACATTTTCGTTGTGCCTCTTTCAACAAGATTTCTCTCTCTGTAAAGCTTAAGCTTATCTTTATATTTCAGATAATGAGAAATTTGCTTGGAACTCATCTGGGTCACAGTGGAGTGTACACCATGTGTAATGTTTTGGAAGACAGGTAGAGATTAAGCAAAATCAGTACCGACTGTACATTTTATTTCCTCTACGTTTCAGTACAATATTGCATTCTCATGCTGATCATGCATAATGTCACCTGAAAATTTTATGTGTTTCAATTTCTACAGATTTTTCAGATCGAACTCCAGAATCAAATCGCGCAAAATATACAAAAAATTTACCCATTCCCTTTCTCCTCTCATTCGTGAATCGCCCTTTGCACTCACCCATCGCTCTTGCATTAATGAAAAAAAATTAACGCCTGTTTCTGAGGCTCACTGATTCAACGGGAGGCGCTTAAATTTGAGGATTGTCGGTATGAGTCATTACAGCACGGTTTAGCGAGAGGTCACTCATATTGAAGAAATGTAAAATGGTTTCCGTGTTTACATAGCGTGATGTAAACACTTTGGAGGTTGGGAGAACACGAGATAAGCGTAGAAAACCACGACGCGAAGCGGAGTGGTTTCCAGCTTATCGAGTGTTCTCCCAACCTCTCAAGTGTTTACATCAGGCTATGTAAACACGGAAACCATTTTACATTTCTTTTTTAAAATAACTAATGAAAGAGCCTCTTCTTGCAACGAAGGAAAGCGACGTGCTTGTTGTTGTTCATTTGGCTTTTCGGCCGTTCTTGAATACTGGGAAAATTAAACTCCAAAGAAAAATTAGGAAAATCTTCTTCCATTACTGTACTCAAAACAAACTTAAAGAAACTGAGTTACTGCTAAATAAATAGCCGGGAGAACTCCGTGAGAAGATTCAGTATGAAAACCGTGTTTACATACCCTCATGTAAAATGGTTTTATGGCCAATCAGAGCGCGCGTGTTATTTGAATTATTTTATAAATCACCTTTGCAAGTTGCCGTCACTTGAAATAGAAAGTCTTTCACTCCGTGTAATTTTTCGTATCTGTTGGATATTAAATGATAAGGTCAACCGAACGCCACAGATCACATGGGCTATCTAACATCTTATAGTCAAAGTGCTCTGGTTGAAATGTGAAGAAATAATTTATGCTCGTGTCTATGTAGTGATAACAGAAGCGACGCCATGCTGTTAAGAGGCTCTGTGTTCTTCATTGGAATGTGTCTGTGGGGGTCACAGCGAGTGCCAAACCTCAAGTACTCCAGTTCCACTGTTTTACCTTCTATGCTACAGGTAGGAATTTCTTCTTATTACACTGCTTTCAAGAACACTGTGGATCTGCTACTGAGTACCGAAAGTCATCCGAGATTTTGTTGGTTTTCCTTCGCCTCAAACTTTGATTGGTCTTAAAAAATTCACACCATTCCGTTAACCATTTAGATTCAAAACTGAAATCAATTATGACTTCATCACTCGAGTAAACTAGATGTTTAACTTTAACGCAGATATGATCATGGTAGTGATCGTCACAAAATAAATAATCTGAGCTGAAGTTTAATAAGTGATGGTTTAAAGAAGGTGTAAAATCCGCCAAGAAAACTTATGGTCGCCTGCCTGGTTTCTGTCGTTCGTCTGTTGGGATACTGTTGTCTCTAGTAGAGTACTAGTGTTCAATTTTGGATCTGGCGACTAAAGTCGGACGCAAGTGTCTAAAATCGGGCACTGGTGTCTAAAATCGAACACTAGTGTCTAAAATCTGACCTTAGTGCCCAAAATCGGGCAGTATTGTATAAAAATGAGATGCTAGTGTCTAATATCGGCCACAGGCGTCCAAAATGGAACACTATTACATCAGTTCATGTAGTGCTCTGATTGATTGTTTTTAAAGTGACAGTTTAAACATCGGTGAATTCTGCGATGCTTCCGGGTTTCTAGTCGGCTGCTTTTACCCCTCTTACCCGCTGAGATCTGATTAAAAATTCTCCCTTGTGACTCTCTATACATTTCCTTGTAAATCGGACAAAGGAATCTGGGGTTACATGAAGATAACACCTATTAACCCATAAGTCTGTCTGCTCTTATTAATTTTGTGCAGGATAACGTGGTGAAATCACCAAGAGAAGTTTTATCAATTACTTCTCAGAACTCAAGGGTTATAGCTATCTGAACCTCCCTTTTTTTCATCTCCAGGCTTTGTCGTGCCATCTCAGCTTGGTGGCCCTGGAAGTTACCCTCTCCCTACAGAGACTTGTGAAGAAGTATGGTCAAGAACTTCATGTTGTGGCCTGGGATGCGGTGTTAGATATCATTGAAGCTCTGCAACAAGAGATCGAGGTATGAAAGGACCTTTATTAAGAGGTCTTGATAACGGGAAGGGAGGGGCTGCTGGGGGCGGTTGTCCCCTGCAAGCTTTTGAAAGCTTGACTAAGGTAATTTTGTGATCTTAGTTTGACTTTTTCAAGTTCGCCAATCGAAGTCTGTGTGAATCTTTCCATCATTAGCCTTCCTAGTTCCTAAGCGATTCATTTTCTTTTCTGCGAAAGATTCGAGGTATCTTAAGAAGAAAATCTTCGGAGATTTTAAAGTTTATGTAGCTTTCTGTTCCTGAAAAGTCAAACCGGTTATTCTGTAATTATTGTCGTTGTAGGAAATTAGCCCGCCCGATAATGTCCTGATTGAAAATCTTCACATCCTGTTGTTCAATGTAGAAGATCTCTACGAGAGTGGAAAGTTTAATGGGCCTGAAGAAAGGTTCTTTGCTTTGGTGGAGAAGAGTGCTGGAATGTTACCTGTAAGTAACAGAACACGAGTGATCCCCTCAGGTCATTCCCTAGTATTATACTGCGCATCCTAACGTGTGATCAGCAGGCGCTCGTATGATCGATAAACGTCTTGTTCTCCTAAACAAAAACGGTTAAGTTTTCCTTGCTTCTTTTTGTCCTCAATTGAGCGACAACTTTCTTTCTCCTAGAGAATTTAAACTAAATAGCGACCAATTTTTTTGAGAAGAGCACTTGTTTAGGAAAACTTTCAAGTGGAATTTTTTCTTTGTCCCACGCTCGTGACAAGACGAAAAAAACATCTCTCTCTGTTTTATAGTTGTTGATATTGTTTTCATTTGTTGTCATGGTAATTATGATTTATGTTAGTCTTGCTTCTCTTGCAGGATCGTTCTCTTCAAATCTTAATTTCATACAAAGCCCAGTCAGTGCATCCTGCTCACGTTGGATGGCTCGTGAATCTTCACGATCTTATGGAAAAATACTTCAGGTACCGTTATTACCGTGTGCAGTTTCTTTCCTTGATGCAAATGGGGCTGTCGCATGGACGCTTTCTTCCTGAGGTTCCCTTGAGCCAACCTCGTTTGTTATGTACTCTCTCCTCCTGGGAACGAAGTTGCTGTTGAGCTTCATTTACATGTTTATAGAGCGCTTTCCAAGTGAGTCGCATAACAATAAAACCAAGGTTACCACAACTGGAGATCAGAACAAGATTTTAGATTAAAAGGAGGCATGCAATTTGCCTCAACGTCAAGAAAAATGCGAGAGACTGTAATTCGAGCTTGGGCTTTTTTTTACGTTTGAGTGGTTCAGAATTGGTGCAAATTTTCTTGGCCCATGACAGGGCTCTGTAAAAGAAAATCATTTTAACTTCAGTCTCGTTTGACTCTCAGCGGAAATTGCTGTAAAGTACACAAAAGGAGGCACAAAATTCGCATTGTTTGATCAATATTGATGCACGTGTGTGGTTATGGCCAAGACAAACCCAACAGCGTCTCCTAAGGAAATGAAATACAAATACAAATCCTGTAGTTTCATTCATACCAGTGAAAAATGTTTCTCTCTCCTTCCAGATATGAAATCCGCACAAGTGTAAGAGTGAAAGCGCTGACTGTCCTTTCATCGGTGCTTACATCATATGGCCACTGGTATGAGGTGGGTTGATGTGCAGTAGTTCAAGTCATGTCTAACGCTACGGGCGGTCCATGAATGCAACTGATTATCTCGTCGTCTGCCGCATGAAGCGCCTTGAATTATTGATACTCCCTAGAGGTAGAGGTTCCTTTCAGAGGATTTATTTTGAGACCACACAAAACTGAACCAGGGGGTTGTATCATGATTTTCCATTTCGAACTTTCAACAAATTTCCCGTTTTTTTTCAGTTCAGCAATTCTGTGTATGGTTTCTATTTGTACGCTTGTGTTTTCATGAACGCAAAGATGTTTTTGTTGCCAAAGAATTACCAGTAAGGTAAAGAAAGGGTCTGCATTTCAAAATGTCGTGGAAAAGCTTCCTTGACTCAACTTCTCAAATTGCAAGAACTGTGTAGCCAGGAGGAAACTTAACATAAAGGAAAATTCCTCACGTCTGTCATACATAACTCCCTTGTCCTAATCAATCTTCGTAGGAAGAGTTGTTGGAGCATGCAGTGTTACCATACCTTATTCACATTCCTGAAGACCAAGATGTAACAGTACGCAATGTAGCTGTGCAGATATTGCTGGACTTGTGTCAGATGTCAGACTCTCAGAAGTGTCAAGACTTCTTGGACATAATCGAGAAGGTACCGACTGAAAATAGGCAACATCTTTTGTATTGATAAAAGTGTCTTTCCAAGGCTGAATTAATTTTAACATCGATGATTCGCACATAACTGGGTTAGTTTTGTCCAGATGCGACTTTGATAAACTTTCAATGTAGGGTCAAACATAATTGCATTGGTTTTGCTCTTCGTGACTTTGCCAACTGGGTTTTCCTGTAGATCAAGCATTCTTTTATTGTTCAGGCTTACTGAGTTTTCATGGGCTTCTTGGGATGTCTTCCTTTTTCTGATTGGTCATTGGCATTGATTGTACTTTCACGATGCCCAATTGAACTGCGCTTTACCCTTTGAATTTTTGAACATTAAGGACCAGAAGTATGATGAGATATGTAGCCAGTGGTCTGTGTTTCTGTGTTGTGATTAAGAAGTCCTTCGTGTTCCTCTGTCACCGTTTACAAACAAATGAGAACCACGAAAGATATGCAGTTATACCAAGCGGATTCCACATCGTGTGTAAATTAATTAATGTTTTTGTCATTGCAGGTCATCAGTAGGCACGTGGAGCTGCAAGGAAAGAGTCCTCCACTAGAACAGCAGGAACAGGTATGAACCGATGGGGTACAAACTAAGCTCTTTCTTCAGTCTGTTCTGTTACTTGGTTAAAAACTCGCGCCACCTTGTGATCAGTCTTTTGCGAGGTAACTTGATCCGTTCACTCACGTTTTCCGGAGCATTTTCATTTAGTGCTGTTACAATGACTCCTCCCAGCCATTGTAATTACTTTGCGAGATTCAATGGAAAAGTGCTCCAATCAATAAATGAGTACTTTTAGGTTGTGGGCGTGAGCCTATTCGTACCGTTGAAAAGATGAAAAGCAACTGTACTTGCAATAATAAGGACCACATGTGGAAGAGAGTTTATGGTTAACTTCATTGAATGTAATCGTTGCGTTTTACTCATGTGCAGATGCTGCAAGAGGAAAAAGAACTGAAGGATGTGAAGACAGCGGTCAGCGGACTGGTCGAAGTGTTTAAGGTAAAACACTTAGTTATCATCTTTGAGTGATTGCAACTGAATCCCATCGGAATAAAATCACAATTCTCAGCTTTTTGCAAGTCTATTCGTTTTCAGGTTGTAACAAAGAGGCACTTAAGTCTGCCTCTTTTCACCCCATGGTGTAAATTGAATCCGAAAATTGCGAGGAAGTGCTGTAACCAGTGCGATGAACTAGAATCCTCTAGGAGGGGTTGTGATTAGGGATGAATTAGGGACGAAGGCTTTCAAGAAAGGTATTAGCTCACTCGAGTATTTACGTTATTTGATCTTTCTGCAGCTCAAGTTGTTTCGTTTGCCGCATGGTCACGCTGTACGGACATTTGAATTGCTGGTCTCTCACGTGAAGGCGCACTATAACCATTGTTACAGTACTTACATTGCAAGTGTCATCAGGAACTTGGTAAGCTTTGTTTCTCTTCTATTGGTTCAATTATGCAGTAAGGGGAGTGGGGTGGGGGGGAAGGGGGGTGGAGTGTGGGGGGATATATTATATTGGATAACATGGTGAACAGTTTTCTCTTTTCATGGTAAGATGTCTCGGCTACTTTTGCAACTGGTTGCATTTTGATCGGGATTTATTGTTTATGCTACTGTCAAAGATGATTTCGCTCTCCCCGGTAATCATGCCATACGATTTACTTACGGCTATGCCAGATTTTCATCTTTTTTTTTCTGGAGATCAAACAATACCTCGTGAGCCTTGTCCTCATGAAAAAGACGCATAAGAATGTACCGATGTGATCGATTTAGGTACCAATAATTTCATATGAGATACAAATCAACCACAAAACAAACTTAGCATGATTCAAATCGCCTAGAGTCAGAGTGATTATTCAATTAAAAAAAAGTATGATCGAATGATTCAGACCAAGATCAAGTTTACCATATTTGATGATGGCACAAAGTTCCTTGTACAAGGGAAGAGCCCTAAAATGTACTTGAAAACACCAAAAAGAAACAAGGATTATTGAGCTGATAGCAACTGACACAGGTGATACGCGAGCGACCGTAAGGTGCTAAATTGATATTGTACTGTACTTTCCTTAAAAACCGAAACTGTAATGTGTTAAATCCTAAAGGCCTTTGAGTGCTTTCTGAGTTTACGCTGTGACTCCAGTTTACGGCTGGGTTTGTCTGATGCCAGTGAAGAAGGGGAAGAAGAAGAAAGGAGTTCTAGGTTCAGCCCCTACTTTACTTGTTTACAGAGGTAAGCGCTTTTATATTTAGACATTGAGTAATCAACTAGCCTCAGAAACTTCACTTTTAGTTATCCGAACAGTTGCAACTGGTATGACCTTTAATCGAGGAAACGGTTACTCACGTCGAAAGGATTTTCAGAGGTTTTCAAATCTTTTTTTTACTCTCAGAAGAGCTGGGAAGGCCTGTACGACCTATATGGATCATTTTAACCTTAAGTGTTCTAAAAAATTGAGAAGCTGAGCAAATAATCATCGATAGACCAAGTGCTGCAAGGAATAAAACGGGGAAAATCTACTGCTCACAAAAAAACTCAGATTCCTTTATCTTGACTCTTGCCGGAAAATATATCTGTCTTTGAAGAAGTTATGACATGAAAAGATATGCCTATAGCCATTCATCCGCCTTAAGTCGGGGCTAATTAACCTTATTAACATGCTAACGAACCAATTTCCGAAGATGAGTTTGAATGGACTTTGTAGGGGAAACTAGAGAAGGTTTGTTAGTGTTGAAAGGTAATATCTGTGTTGATGATGATAATGAACGTAAGCCATCACAACATAAGAAAGGTTCAATATTCAAACATTGCTCTAAACATTCCAAGGTTACCCTTGTCACCACCAATAATGATCATTAAAACATGGTGTGGAACTACGCCACGAGCAAAATAAAAGAGACCCATTGAAAAAAATAAGAAACATAAATCATTGATTATTAATTTTTATTCTTTTTCAAATGACTTACCGAAACTACACTCAACTTTATTGAAAGCCTTTGTCTACATATTTATCAAGTGACGTATAGATACCAACTGGATTCTTTTAAAGGCTCTACTCGTACCTTGCCGATCTTTCAGAAACGTTTTCAGAAGTCCCTCCTCCCTCTCCCTTCGGACTTTCTACTGTTACGTCATGAAACCTCCGTCGTAAATCTTAAAGCCCACTTTTTACATAACAAGAAGAACAACAGCACACTAAATTGTACCCATAAAAATTTTTTGTCAGAATTACATTTACTTGCAACTTTATGAAATGGGTCTGAATCGAAGAAAAGGAAAGAGCAAGTAGATTAATTAAAGAAAACATGTTTATACCAGCAAATTTTATATCCAGCTTTATGGACGTATTCGTGCTATTTTTCAGTATTGGTTTGTTTCTTTACGGCTTTAGTGCGTTACAAGAATAACTTATTCATACCTTGGTCTCATTGGTTGCACCACTATACCATCCTGTTTATGGATGAATTGAAAAAATATTTCAATTAATACCTAAATATTTTGAAGCTTTTAATACGAATGAATACTTCACTGGTTTGAATTTGGTGAGCCCCATCACTTACCTGTACAGAAGAGAGACTTTGAGCAATTGCATTTGTGTCTGTCAACCATGCCTGCAAAGTAAAAGAGAATGTAACTTTCGGAACTTGCTGTTAAAAATCATACGTCACTCTTTTGTTATCATGCTCTTGTCAGTGGTATGCGTGCCCATGTGCTTTCTTTTCATTATTATCGCTTGTGTCTCGTTGTGCTGTTTTCAGAAATAAGACTTTGTTTGAGACTTCGTGATGGGGATGAAAATCGTCAACAGTACCCTACTTACACCAATGTTGAACTCTCCTTTACAGAATTGGCCTGTCTCTGATGTGTCAAATCAGTTAATTTTAATTTACAATGTGTGGGTTTTGTTTCCATACCATTTGAAGAACATGCTGTCGAATTGCCATATTTTCTATCTTAACTTGCAATTTTAAGTCTTTCCTGAAAAGGAAAATAAATGAGAAATTGATTAAAAATTTTGATTAATGGAAAGTAATTTTTGTACGAACAAATTTTATTTCTTTTCATATAGCTAGATTTGAGCCCTCTTTCATTGCATGTACGAATCTGTCTTTCTGATCTGTTGATTTGTCGTACAGCTTGAATACTTCACAGAAATAACTTACCAAGACCATGGGCTCAATGCATGCACCACTGCACCATCCTGTTAATTGTAGAATTTACAAAATAATACTATAAATATGCAAACGTTTCTTAGTCATGGAACCTCTACAGAGTAATTTTGAAATGACTTAAATACTCAGTTATACTTATGTTTTGTTAATGGATTTCATTCCATTTTATTTGGAAATCTGATTGTTTAAAAAACTGGCATTAACTTTCTAGACCAGTCAAATAACGAAGTAAAGCCAAACATTTTGTCTAAAATTAATCTGGTGTGATGCCAACTTCTTTGCAACATCTTTAAAAGATTAAAAATTCAATCAATGAATCTTGTTATTTTGACGGCATGTCGTAGTTTCAAATGAAGTATACTTTGAAACTAGTGTTAGCAATCTTTGCATTGTTATAAAGCCGGAAACCCTATGCAGTCAAGGAGACAAATCAAGCGTACTGGTGTTACTGCTAAAGAAACTAATTTGGCATAAGGATTTGGGAGCACACTTTACTGGTTTTAAATTTGATAGGGGCATTACTTGCCTGTACTGAAGAGAGACTTTGTGGAATTGCATTGGTATCAGTTAACAATGCCTGCAAAGTAAAAGAGAAGTAACTTTCGGAGCTTCCTGCTAAAGATCATACGCTACTCTGTTGTTTTCATGTTCCTATCAGTGGTATCTATACATGCGCATGTGCTTTTCTTACCATTATTATCTCACGTGTCTCGTTGGACTTTCTTCACAATATCACGTCGTTTAAGGCTTCGTGATGGTGATGAAAATCGTTAACACTACTCTACTTACAGTAATGTTGGACTCTCCTTTACAGAATTAGCGTGTCTCTGATGTGTCAAATTAGTTAATCTTAATATACAATATGTGGGTTTTGTCTACATACCATTTGAAGAACATGCGGTCGAATTGTCATATTTTCCATCCTAACTTGCAAATTGATGTTATTCCTGAAAAGAAAAATAAAATGGCAAGAAGATTAATCGAAGTAATCTTTGTACCAAGAAATTTTAAATCCACTTTAAAAGGCCTCGAGAAGTTTGCAGATTAGTACTCCCGGCACTTTTAATATGGCCGCCATTTTGTTCCTTCATCGTCTCCTGCACTTTTTTAACTCGTTTGAAATCTCTTAAAGCTTCTCCTTCAACTTGTCATTTCCAACTTTCAATGTTTGAACAGTTTTCTTCTCCCATTTCTAGTGATCCTTACTTGAAATTTTATATATTTCTGTTAAATTGAAGAGCTTTCGAAACTGCGACCGATCCATACGCACATGTGCCTGCAACAAGCTAAAAGATTAATTCGTTGGCAATCCTTAGCATTGTTCAATCGCAGACAACGGTAGTCAAACATAGAGAGCATGCTTTTGGAAAAAAGCTATGCAACTACAACCAGAGATGTAAAATTGATTTAGTTTGGAAATAATATCCTTAATTCGTCTGTATTTGCGAGGCAATTATAAATAATTTCCAGAACCATTGTAACATTGCTCTAGGAATACGAATGTTTGATTATGAAAGATCTCGGTCCCTTCGACAGAGGGACGATTAAAAGTAGTAAATGGAGCTAAGCTCTTCAAATGAATTATACTAGTCACACAGAGAAACTCACCGTTGACGAATAAATGCCATTCTTCCGTGTCAGAAGCTAAAGCTACTTACTAGTAACGTAGAAGAAAAATTCGCCTAAATTTATTGAAAAGCCCTTATTTAGTACGTTGCGTCATTTTCCCTCTAGTTATATACGTGGTGTAAGCGTAATGGGAGGAAAGGAAGGCAAAACACTCCATAGTTGAAGAAATATTCTAAGAATCGCACCACACTTCAGAGAGATGCCCAAGAAACTCTTTGGCACAGCCCGTAGAATAATGGCGACACGAGATAAATGCTTCCTTGAATCGATACTCTTGTTCGATATCCCTTGTAGAGTTGTAACACCAGAGTACTGATTCCTGCTCCGAAGCATGGCTTTTCCAAACAAAAGATGAACGCTAAAAAACAAAGTGAGAGAAAAAGAATAGGAACGAGTAATGTACTCTGTATGAAACAACTCATTTAGTCAGACATTTGTTAAAATGTTGCTTCCAAGATTCAATTCCTTTTCGCTTAGCAATCTCAGGGAAACGATAAGGCCTAAGAATTGATGGCGGTCCGAAAGACAACCGACAATAAAATAGATCATTTCAGCCCCTGCAGCATTAATTTTAGAGGATGTTGTTAATGCACTTGCGTTGCACCAACTCTGCTCTAAATGGTAGAATAGTCTCCATAATTCTTCCTGGTAACTTCCTTTTCTTGTCAAGTTCACAAAACCCTCAGTTCCTGGGGCAGCATCATCTTGTCAGTAATAATCTGGAACAGACTTCCCTCCGTTTTCGGTGTACAGCTAGTCCTGCTAAAACAAACAAACTTGGAAAAGAGGATCTCCTATGTGTTGAATCATGTTAACTTACACGCAGGTGGATTAAAGGTTAGTTCAATGTATTCAACAGCTTTCATTGCGAAATCTACCTTGTAAGACGTCGGAACTAGTTAGGAAATCTACCCAAAGTCTCGAATTGAATGCTACAGATTGTGATTAAAACAAGTTGTTGTAAAGTACTGGAAGATTCACAACAGTGAATGTTGAAAGTTCTTCGAGCATATTATAAAGAATCGGCCAATTGGAGATCGCGTGATCTCAAAAATAAACTTAATGTCAACGCAAAGATCGAAAACCAATGGTGCTTGCATAATGAGGCTCATAGAAACGGAATTGATTATTGTTCTAGAATGATATTTGTGCCAAGTAACAGCTGCGTAGTGGTGTTCTATCTTCGTTCTGATTGACTAAAAGCACGATTCTAATTTTAGCTTTTACAGCATAGCTACAAACATAGCATTTATGATCGTAGTATTCAATGACGTCCACAAAAAATTGTTTGGCAGCATGCGTAATAAAACAATCGTTGACTAAGGTTTTCCTTGGCTTTCGGAAAACACGAACTTCGGCCTCGATATCATGCAAAAAATAATAGCAATAATCCGTACTCTAGTTCTGATGTGATAATTTAGCAAAATTTGTTTTTTCGATCATAATGTATAGAAGTCATTAGTAATTTATCGTTCATACATACATACATACATACATACATACATACATATATACATACATACATACATAAATACATACATACTTTATTTGGTATAGTAGGTTAAATTAAAGGCAGTCAGAGGCTGATGTGGACCTATTGTCTACGGAATCTAGCTAAAACTATCTTAGTGTACTACTATTAAATCGGATCAAAATTAATACTAAAAATATTTAAAAACTATTCAGCTAAAGCTATCTAGGCGTTCTGTTATAAAATTTGTTCAAAATAACAATACTGAAGATATTTACAATCTTGATTCTTATGGGATTAAAATTACAATACTAAAAATATTTAAAATCTTGATTCTTGTGGGATACCATACATGTTTCTTTTAGAAAGTTAAGATCATTAATAAAATTCTTATGCCGACGTTCTTTTAGAAGGTTTTTAAAGTTCTTGAGGGAGTGGGAATGTTTGAGAGAGGTAGGGGTAAGTTGTCAAGCTAGTGGGCCTCTGCCAATGTCCAAGTTGTATCTGGGTAGAACGAAGTGATTACTATTTCTGAGGTTATAGTGTTGATTGGCAATACTAAAGAGGTTTGCTATTTTATCTGGGGTAATATCCCTATTTACTTTGTAAATTAAGATGAGAAGCTTCTTTTTATATTGGTTTGATAATGGCTCCCATCTAGTACTATCTAGGGCATCTTGATCTGATATGTCCCGTGGCAGTCTGTAGATGATTTTCAGTGCAATGACTCAGCAGGGGTTCGTCTTTTCAGGAGTTGGGGCAACACAACTGGACCCGAATTAATCGGTTTTTCTGAGATATCTTTCGAACATATGACATTCCTTTAGATGCAAAATTGTGGAAATTCGACGGCTGATACAAAAAAGTAATCAGAATTTTCTATCTTGAGAGGCAATGTTTTCTAGCAACCTTGAATACTGAATAACTTTTCCAAATGAACCATTTTTGTCTTTTGCGAATTTGTGTATCATAATTTGTTTCGTCGTGCCCTCGTCCCTTGTACAACCAAACAACTGAAAATGGATCGCTCTTTTCGTGTATGTTCAACTGTTGATCAAAAGATGGAGTTGGACATAACCCTCTGAATGAAATAGACGACAAAAAGGTGGTAAATCCTTAGGTCAGTTATCGTATAAGAGGGAATATGTCTTAAAGATATTCGTCTGTAGCGTGGAATAAAAGAAATGGAATGCTTCACGAGTATTAAAACCTCAAAGCTTCCGATCACGTAGTCAGATTATCTACCTCCTGATTCACAGAGAAATCGTTAGTAACATATGTGGTTGACTTGCTACATACTATTTGGATCAGTAATGTCGAAAGCGTCGCGTGTGAATGTGTCTAAAAGTTTTTTCGATTGCAAATCGGAAAGGAAAAGTATTATTTATCCACACCTTCGCTTTTATACGTTTGTCAATAGACTTTGACTCGCATATTTTACTTTTGTGTTTGGACTTTGATGGTACTAGTGCATACTTTGTGTTACCGTTTCATTTCAGTGACTCTGACACAAAAACGTCGTCATCGTCACATCTTGCTTTGATATCTTACTCTGACGTGTTTCAAGCCATTTTGAACTGCTTGCAGTATGTGAGTACAATTTTTCTTTTTTCATAGTTTAACAGCCAATTTAAGAGATGACCAGATGGTCTTCGTCGACCCTTAACAGACGAAAAACAGCAACAATTTGCGAGTGTTATTCTGTTTATTTACATATTTAAAGACATTTTTTGTGATCATCATTTTGTCTTGTAGGAGTGGGACTGGACAGTACTGGAGCATGTTTTGAGTGGACTACCGGAGGTCCTACAAAATAAGAGCCTTATTCTATCAGCTAATCCCGCGTTAAATACCATGACGTCAGTACTGTGCAATATGGTGAGAGTTTTTTGTGGGCCTGTTCAGCCACCGGTCTCTTCACCCCAACCTCCCGAGAGGCGCTTAGGCGAGAGAGAAAGGGTGTCTTTCGGGGCATTGGAGCGAGGAGATGGCCGACATCTTCTTGGCTTCAACAACATGAGTTAGAACCATAAAGTTTTAACTTTAAAGCGAGGTTAAGGGGCTTATTTGGATGTACATGAAAAGATATTGACAATAATAGTTGAACACTGTACTCTCTCGCTGGTTTTCTTTCATTTCTTTTTTCTTGAGATCTTATTAATCTTTCAACGCTTCATATGACCCGTAGGTTTCGGAACCTTCTTTCATCCTGGATCTTCGTCGTGTTCCTCCCGGTGTCGGGAGAGTAGGACTTCAGGCTTTGATTTTTCCAGTAAGTATCAATTATGTATATAACTTATCCAATTAGAGCGCAGCTCGATTGAAATATGGTAGAATCATTGTCTGTGTGGTTACATCTGTGGGTCAGGCCCTTCGAAGTAATGGCAATGAGCTAAGGAGTACTCTTCATAAAAAGTGCGAGAACATGCGAGTGGCTGGGATTTTACTTGCAATGTAACAACTTTTCACCGAGGGAGAGCAGACATATTCCGATTTTATTAGGCCCACACAAGTTGAAGATTATCACTGGCGGTCAAAGGGCAGCTGGCTCTCGAAGCTAACTTTCCTTTTTTATTTTAAAAGGTTTTATCGGTTCTTGCTACATACCACTCCAACCTGGACAGGGGACGGCAGGTGAGATTCCATCTTATCGATTCCTATCAGGGCCGCACTGGAAAATTAAACTTGCTCAATATTACCAAGGAATTTTCCGGAGTATAAGGTGATCACTTTTTATCCTTGGGAAGTCCTTGGGAAAACAGATGCGTTGACGGTGACTGAAGTTTCAGCAATACTCCTTTTTAGAATTACTCTCACACGGACTACACAATTTGCACGGTAAACACGGTCCTCCCTTTCAGACACGATCAAATATTGATCCTGGGCCTAGACATCAACCGTGAGATCGATTTCCACAATTTCCGCATTGGATGCGTCTTATGCTTTTATGACAATAACAAAAATGTGATCTATATTTTAGTTCGAGTTGGTGAGGACTTTGGAGCTGGGTTTAGTGACCAAGTGTGCTGTCTTATGTGTCTCTTCACTCACCCTGTGCACCATGGAAATGCAAGCAGTTATGAAAAGGCAAGCTAATCAAATCCAAGGCTCTCAATACAAATAACTCGAGTTTTAAATGTGAGATTATAGAATTAATAGAATTTAATAGAATTTAAGAATGGCGCTATGTGACAAACCTGGAGGTTTGGTGAAAAAGGCAGCCACAAAATAGGAGAAACAATCATGAAAATACAGAGATGTTTGCTTTTGTGTTTAACCCTTTAACTACCATGAATGACCAAGACATAATTTCTCCTAACAATATCAATACAATATCAAGCAGATAAGTGATGAGAATACGAAAAATATTAACTGGGGGATTTTTAGTTGATCCAATACCAAGTTCTCCAGACTAACATCAGAAAAACTATATGGCAGACAGTAAGGAGAATTACCAATGAGATCTTGAGAGTTAAAGGGTTAAGTGACTGACGGCAGACTGCAAGGGCCGTTTATTTAAACAAAGTTTAGCCGTTGTTTAACAAAACCGCGTTTTAAACTATCTTGAATTCAGCTGAATCTTTTATCTGAACATTTATGTTTGTGAGCAGTGTCAAGAGCGCCGAAAGCAGTGGGAGGACATTCATTTAATGAAAACAACCTCCTTATAAAGAATGCGTAAGGTCCACTGCTTGCATAAAATCGCGCTTTGGGTTACACATCTTATAAGTAACCGGCCCAAAGAGTTATTGATTTCCAGGTTTTTTCTTAATGGACGGGACCCTAATTTTGTCACAGTTTTAAAGGTTACCCAACCCTAAGTAAAATTTCTCGGTGTTTTGTCTTTATTTCCAGTCTTCTTCCAGCTCTTTTAGTGCGGTTGACTCAGATCTCCGCAACTGTTGCCATGGCAGCACCCATGCTGGAGTTCCTTTCAGGTAAAACTATTTATCTCAGGATTGAAAATGAGTCTTGAATAATTGCAAAGCATAGAGACTTGCAAATTTAAAAACTCAAGAGCTGCAATAAGTTTGGAGAGTAAAAATTAAGTAACAGCCGGGTACAAGTGTGGAGCTTATTTGCCAGTGGAAACCTTTCAAGGCATCTAAAATTGATGTGAATGGTCTTAGCAAACCTTTTCACAGCGTGATCAAAGAATTTTCAGGTTTAGAGAAAAATTCTCGGCAACACCTTCTCTGCTCAGGCCTTGTAATTTTACGCATTACGTTCGGTCTTGAAAATTTTGAATGTTGATTTTGAAACAGTCTGAAAAATCTCACAACTTTCACACACAAATGTGTATGAGAGTTATTACCCTTCGATGACACTAACTATGTATTTGCGTGTTTATTGCTTTTTTTTGTTGTTTTCTGAAGGTCTTGTTCATCTTCCACATCTGTACGCCAGTTTTCAAGACAGTCAGTACAAGAGCGTATTCGCCATTAGCCTCCCTTACACTGATCCTTTCAAGTGAGAATGTGTTAAATTTTCTATTACGTCTCAATACTCTTCTATGTTTCCTTTTTTAACTTTTACACTACATGTTTTTTCAATACCCAGATATTCTCAGTACACCATAACGCTTGCTTATCACGTGATTGCTGCGTGGTTTATTCGATCACGTGTGGCGTATCGCAAAGCATTTGTGGGATTCGTGAGTAAGGTAAGTGAGGTAATATTTTGTAACACATGGAAATTGAGGTTTATTGAAATATCAGTTAAGGTTTTATGGGCTTATTTTAAAATACTTGTTGGCTAAAGATGAATTGTCAGGGATTGAGACTATGATGTTGAAATGTATGAAATTTTCTGAACGACGGGTACAATTTACGTGGAGTTTATTGTTTGGGTTACGATTACGCACTCTTGAACTAAATATGATCCCTTGATGAAGCTTGAGGGTTAATCATTGCGTTACCTTCTCACTTTGAATTCATTATTTTAGGCACGCCTAGTTAGACGTCAATCCAGTTCTCATGGTACAATCTCTCTTTTGGAAACCCGCCAATTCAAAGGATACAAACTTTGTTCTCCGACTGAGTAAAAAGTTGCTCTTTTAACATTAATGTCACTTGTTTTGAAGGAAATACTTTTGCTTGTCCCTGAATGGAGTTCCTTTTGTAATGTAGATGAAGGGGAATTACCCGAAAGTATTCAAATTATGTGAGGATCTGGTCCATTGCAATGCTAAGCGCCCTATGTAATCTATTTTCGGAATGAAACGAATTCATAAATTTACGTTGGTTCTTGTCATTTCCAGGGTCTCAAATCAAGTGCTATAATTCCAGACCGTTATGAACCCAAACCAGACAGCCCCTCTCTAGCAACAACCAAATGTCGCACTGGAAACTCTACAAATCAGCCCTCGCCCCAGATTCATAATCGGTCAAGTTCGCCCGTAGTTCAGAAGGAGACTGAAACGGCGTGTGAGCTACATGCTGAAATGAGTGAAGTTTGTATGGACATGATGGCCAGATACACGTTTGCTCCATGTATGTCACAGCCAAACAGGTTAGAAATGTGACTTCCTTTTTTTGTCCATAAAATTTGAAGAACAATTTAACCTTTGAGACTTAAGATGGTACAATATGGTTCACCTCCACAAGATGGTCATCAGTCAATGAAATTCTTAAGTCTTTTTCTTGAAACTAGATGAACCACTTAGACTGATCAGAGCAAAGGAAAAATTGAAGACGAGAGTGATCTTTGCAATAATAAACAGCACTTAAGCAGTTATGAAAATAAGGCCTGTACGGGAGTTGAACCTTGACCACTGCGATACCGGTGCAGTACTCTACTAACTGAGCTAAAAAACTAACTGGGAGCTGGTCTTTATGTTGGTTCACAGTCAAAGGAAAACTTCTCAAGAGCATATAAAAAACTTAACTAATGCATGTAACAGGGTAGTGGATCGTAAATGAAATAATTGAGGTTGGAAAGACACCCAAGGAGTTGTTCGAAGTTTGCTTCAAAAAAGATGCAAGGTTCCGTGTTCAAACAGGGAAAAATAGATCCTGCTCTTATTATATTGGCAGAAAATAACGCAGGTTTATTATGAGAGATACCTTCGACTAAGAAGACGTTTTGTTTCATGTTCAGGACCAAAGCGGTGGAGTTGATGCTAGCCAATGGTCATTCTCGTACTTGGATGATCGGTAATACAATAGTAACCATAACCACCTCAGGTACTTATATCGGCCAGGATGGTAATTGCGACAACTGCCTGGCTCTGAGACAAAGAACAGTAAATATGCCACCAAAGGAAAGCGCAAAAACAGAGAGGAATGTCAAACAGAAGATCACCGCGGCGGATGTTACGACAGAAGATTCTCATATACAGTCTCCCGACGAAAAAGCTCATGGCACGTTTACGAGTCATGGAACTGGGACTCAGACTCCCGCGGGCGCTGATGAATCTTCGAAGCCTGAGGCGAAGTCAGAGTTTCATAGCGGCGCACTATCAGACCGGCGGCTCAGTGGACAGTTTGTTGCTATCAATCCACAAAACTGTCGATGTGTTTGCCAAGGCTGGGCTGAAATCTTTATCCGTCGGCCCAGCGGAAACATCTCTTGGATTATGCGCATTCAGAATAGGGCTACGTCATGGTTGGAGAGTGACGTCAGTACTGCCCTTATAGATGACCCTCAGATCGACGAAGGTAAGTTTGACACTCAGTTGCTGCTTAGAGCTCTATTTTTTCTATTTCATGTCCTGCAATCAACTCTGCCAGAGGACTTTCTTAGCTTTGTGTATGAGTTGGTTATTTCATTTATTTTTTCAGATCCTCAGCGAATTTTTCTTAAATCTCTCTGATGTAAACACGTCTATGCTAACGACGATTTCGTTTCAGTTGAAAATGAGAAAAAAAAACACCTCGGAGAGAAGATATGCGATCTTACAAATGGAACTGAGTAGATCTGTGGTTTACCTTGCACTATACCATCACTTATTTCCTCAGTTCGAAATAAACTTTTCGGCTAAGAATGTCGATCCTCTTCTCACAAAATTTTACATGTGGCAAAGGTCCTGCTGATGTTTGTTAAATTCTCCCCTCCTCTTGTCAGTTTCTTCCCTACCCTGTGAAATGCGAGGAGAGGTCCTGAGTACCAGTACTGAAAGTGGCTCTGTTATTATTGACGTGGTGAGGCAAAGTAATCCTCCAGAGGGGGTAGGAGCTGCTTTTCATGATACAGGTACAAGGTCTATTAAAGATAACGTTAAATTACTATCAAAAGTGTATGAAATGGCTGTTAAGCGGTGGAGGGTGGGGAGGGGAGATGTCATAAACGCTTGAAAATCTTGCTTTTGAGACTATCAACGCGTTCGCGACAGTAACCTCATTCTTAGGCTCGTTCCGTTTTTGCTCCTTCATTTCCAGGGTCCCTTGCTATCACCGTGGGAAGAGTCTGGGAATGAGATTCCCATGTCAGCTAATGCATGAGATTCGAGAATTTCCCATTGCGCGGAAAGTTTAAGGATGTAGCTACAGTTGACAGTGCGCTTTAAACACTTAATGCCATACTCTTAGTTTTTGGGTGTCTCCTCATTTATCTGCTTCATCATTTATTTTCTTTCCCGGTTGGTTTTCTGTTTATTGTTGATTTGCCTGCCGAAAAGCCCGTGGGGAGTCACTCGCTCGTTCCGGCTGGCAACATGGCAACACAGATGGCGACAAAGATGCTGATGCACCTCAGCTGAATTCAGTGCTCATTTATTCACAAAGCGCCAGCACGGCCACTCCGCCAAGCACACCAGCGGGGTCCGTAGATTCTGAGCTCTTTGAAGGAAGGGAAAGGCTCCTAAGTAGGAGCCCCAGTAAAGGACCTAATGTTTTTACGGTACGCCGGGTTTGAACAGTTGTTTTGGTTTACACTTTGATGATATCTTAAAGTTTTGAAACTTTAGGCTTGAACCAAACGTAAGCTACTCGGTGAAAATGGTGCCAACAGAGTCTTTAAAGAGTTATGTTGTGTTTAAATTCTTTTAAAATTGGCTCATGCAAAGAAACTTGAAGGTATGATCAGTCAGAACACAAAAGAATAGCTAATGGTTATTAAGTGTTATCACAAACGGATGAAGTGGATGGTCTCATCTTCACTCTGATTTGTTAAACCAAGTTCACTTCACATCTCTTTCTTTTGTTTTCAGATGCGAGAATCTGAATGTTCTGATATACTTGGAAGCTTGGAAAGAACTCCGAACGAAGGTAACTTGCTAGAGCTTCTTTGCCTTTTGGCTTTGGTGTACTTTGACTCGATGCCTTTGCGAAATTGATCGATATTTTGTCATCTTTGACGTTCAGATGTTCCGCCGAACAAGACGAGAAAATTTGATAAGGTAATAATAAATTGTCTTCTACTTGTTGCAACGTTCATGTTAATATGTAGTGAACCTCGCGTAATGGTCACATTTGCGAATCGTAAGTTGCTATAGAACTTAACTTCACAGACAAGAAAACCCTCCCGTAACCTTACTGACAACCAACGACAGCGATCAAAATTCGAAGTACAGCTCGATGTTTATGCTGTCCCATGGCGAAAGGATTGAGGTCGCAGAATACCCTACAGGACATTTCTCACAAATATTTTAAACAAATATTTCACACTTAGGGGTGTTGGGTGTCAAGGGTTCTACCGGGATTTTGCGGGAATGCCAAGCTGTTTTGTATTTATTTAATTATTTATTTATGTATTTATTTTTCTATCCATTTATTTATTTATTTACTTATTAGCAATGTTTAACCAGGCTGGCCTAGTTCAGCTGAAAGTTGGTTCAATTTTTTATCCATGATGCGAAAGAGGGTTGATGTCACAGTTGTCCAGGGACCATCTCCTACCTGCTCCGCTCTTGATGCGACGTTTATTACCGAGATTTGTTAGGAAGTGGACGAGAGTTTCCTAATTCGGCTAGATTATTTTCTTATTTCAGCCAGAACTGGGTGTTTCTCCTGTTGACCCGTTCCCAGTGTCCTCTCTACCAAGACATAACCAGTTAGAGCGAAAAAGAAGAGACGAAACCAAATATCTGTCGTCATCTGAGATGTACAGGGTGAGACTTTTTTTGTCTTTGGTAGCGAAGAGCAGCGGTAACAACAACTGACTGCTTGTACTGCTGTTGAAGGTTATCGCTGTAGTTTTTAGTATAAATATTATCCACTATTTCTATTGTAAACATTCATCTTTCTTTGCAGCTTGCAAGTGACGAGAAGAGTTTACAGTCTCTCAATATTGAGGAGAATGAGGATCACTCTGGTAAGAAGCATTTTGCGAATCAAGCAGACGTGTAATCAATACCACTCTCTTCTTTTTTCTCAAATCTTGTACTTCTTCTTCATCTTGTCTATTCGCCTCCTCCTCATCCCGCTTTCTCCCTTGTCCTCTCCCCTGCCCCCTCACTTTACCCTTGTCCTCTCCACTGCCCCCTCACTGTACCCCTTGTCCTCTCCCCTCTCCCCTCACTTTACCCCTTTTCCTCTCCCCTCCCCCCTCACTTTCTCCTTTCTATTTCCCTTCATTTCTCACATCCTTTCTAACCTTCACTCTATCTCTCTTTCGTGTATTATCAGAGCAAAATTAACAGTTGTAGTTCTTTTAATCCAGGAGACCAAAAGATGGAAACTGTTCAGGGTGATGTTCCTCAAGGTCGGACAATCAATCCAGCCAAGAAGGCCGAAAGAAAAAAATCAGTTCCATATCAGTCCCTTGAGGAAGAGCATGGTGTGATCAGAGAGAGTCCGGAGTTTGCTTTGGATACAGTATTTTCCAAAACGGATACCAAAAGCGCTCCGACAACAAGCGTTGACTCCGGTGTGAGCAGATATCACCAGGATCTCTCTCGTTTTCCTCAACCGAAACAACATGGTGATAAACTGGACACTAGTGATCAGGTTCCTCGAAAGGTGAAGTTGAGAAAGTCCTCAAGTTTTAGTTCACCCACCATGGCGAGAAAAGCCTTGGATCATTCGGAACATTCTCCATATGCATCCCCTCGTCAGGGAAGGATTTCAATTGCAGTGAAAAGCAAAGAAGCGGAGGACAGGCTCTTTTCCCCGGCAAGCGTTGGTGATCCAAAAAAAAGTACCTCTTCCCCGGAGTTATCTTCACCACCAGCTTTCCCTAAAGGTACAAATATACAAGCAAGGTACACTTGTGGAATGCGGCTGTGATGAAAAACTATGAACTTTTGGATGTTGTAAAAGTCCCTGAATTATTTTGCAATCACAGCTACATCTCACAAGTGCACCATACCTATATCTCTACATCTTTCTATGTGGATCTCAAAGCCATTATTTTTATGCCATAGAAGTAAAGCCTAATACAGAAGGCTGAATTGGTGCGATTCTTTTTTCATTGCAGAGACAGATTTTTTTGAGTGTGGGGGAGGAGAAGAAGGGGAGGCGTGTGTCTCCTGTTCTGTCCTAATTGTTATTTGGCCAAGTTTTTATCAATTAACGGCTATTACTCCGGCTCAGAATTTAGAGTTCCTAATATTGTAAAAAGGAAACAAGAATAAACGAACTCTCCTTGCATAGGCCTCTTCGGAGTACATAGCTCCTTTGCGTGCGTACGATTAATGTATGTGCTGTGTTAACAAAGCTCCCACTGGCCTGTGAATTATAGCTTGTGCGAAAAAAGAAAAGTTTATATTAGGTTTTCTTGGAATCAAATTTTTCGTCTTGTCATGATATCACGATTTTTCATTTCTTTTTCAAGTATTAAACAGTGAAACATCCAAGCGCCCGACATCTCGCTCCAGAATGATGCCCCATGCAATCGGACCTCAGCTTACAAACAAGTCGTCTAAATCGGCACCAACTGTTGGAGACTCCTCTGATGGGGGCCCCAAAGAGCCTCCCATTTTAGTGACCCCATCAGAATCATTCAGATACCCACTGGACCCTTGCTTTGTGTTTCTACAGTTGTATCACGCTTCCTTCTTGGGCCTGGTCAACGAAAGACCTCAGCCCCTCCCTGATGGGGAAGTAAGTTTCAGTGTATTTTGTAAGGTTGTAGTGTGATCCAGATAAATACAAACATAAAGTCAACAAAGAGGAGAGGCTAAATAAATGTTTTGTCATTGTAAATGGTGTGGAAATAAAAGCTGCAGTATGTAGTGCATTTGAGCGCAGTGGAGTGTTTACGAAACACCCCATTGCGCCCGAATGCCTCAAACTCAGTGGCAGGCCAGGAAAAGCTCGTACTGACGCGGTTATCATGTGGGCCGTCTCGCAGGCCATAACTCAAGTACCACTGAGAACTAAGTTTTATTTATTAATTTATTTGTTATTATATATTTTTTTGCTTATTTTCATTTTCTGCTTAGGTCATTGAAAGAGCTATTAAATGTCTTGATCGCATTCCTCCCTACGACACTCACAAGATCGGTGTTATTTACGTGGGGCCTGGGCAGCATGACAACGAAGCGGCAATTTTAAGCAATGTGTACGGGTCCTCCCGTTATATGCAGTTTCTCGCGGGTCTCGGGACGCTTGTTCGGCTAAGGGATTGCCCACTCGCCGAGATTTACACTGGGGGACTGGATAGAAATGGAGCAGATGGTGAATTTGCGTACAGCTGGCAGGATGACATTTGTCAAGGTAAAAAAATTTGCCATTTATTAATAAATGCCTCGCTGGACCCGAGATCGAAAGCACTAGGTCAGTGCGTTTAAGCGTTTAGCTCGTAACCATGGCACAGTAGTCGCGGCAGAGCGAAAACATCTTTGCATCCAAAGAAAAAAAGGAAACATGGGTCGCTGATACTCGACTTATTCCATGGACAGGGATTTTGCCAGAGAAACTTGAAATGCTGGGGACGGAAGTAATTTGCCATAAGCCAGTATTCTGCCCGGGGGGGTTACCATTACTCCTGATTGCTTCATGTTGCAGAAACCGGGATAATTCTTGTCCTTGATTCCAAATTTTTCTCTTCAGTCATATTCCACGTTGCCACATTGATGCCAACCAGAGATTCGGACCCAGGCTGCAACTCTAAAAAGATGCATATCGGTAACGATTTTGTTACCATAGTCTATAACGACTCGCAGCAGGCGGTAAAGTTTGGCAGAATTAAGGTGAGATATCCCTTTGCACCTAAATATAAAAAGACTCAGGTTTGGAGAACTGGCTCTAGGGAACCTTCTATTAGACGCTTTCTTTTCTTTTCTTTTCTTTTCTTTTCTTTTCTTTTTTTTTCCAATAAAATTTCCCGGGATATGTACAATTTATTACGCTCTCAGTTTTTCTTTCCGTCGCCAGGGTCAGTTTAATTTTGCTGAAGTGTTGATCAAACCTCTCGACAATGCATCTAACATGGTGACTGTGAGATTCAAAGATGAGCTGAAGGAGCTACTCTCAGACACAGGGACTCGAGTCATCTCGGACAACAACTTGCCGCGACTAGTTCGGCAGCTTGTTGTACATATCAATGTGAGTATAACTTAAACCACGTAATGGAGTATTATGCCTCGGAAACAAGATGATTTTCATCGTGTCATTATAGAGTGTTACACAGAAAGGTAATACTAATTGATGGAGTAAGATCTCACCTTACAGATCGAAAAGTTTCCTTTTATACGCTTGAATTCAACCAAAGAAGCCGCTTTCTAGAAAACAACCAATCTACGTGGTTGCAACCGTCCAAATGAAGTGAATCAAAAACCGTGGTTATTGGGGAATATGTTATCGTCAGTGGTGTTGTTGTTTTCCTTTTTGTTTCGCTCCTAATTTTTTAAGCAGATTGTCAAGTGTTGAACAAGGAGCATGAGCTGTTGCTTTTGCATAACTATATTGCGTACGACGCTTGTGTGGTTTTGTGTAAAACCAGGGCCTTGGCGCCGTCGAGCATCAGGTTTGAGCTTTAGTAGATGAAACCAAGTTGAAACGAACTTAAGCAAAGCTTACTGGATTTTAAACATAAAAGAGGAAAATGCTCTTTCGACTCAGCGCCGGTGCATGATCTGTAACACTCATAGGTTTCAATGTATCCATTCTTTGATGCAAAGACTCCTTTGCCTTGACTGTGATTATTATTGTCATTATTTTTTTTCCAGATGGCTTCTGTAATTCACCAAAGTCAAAAGCGTCCAACCGACGCCTACGGTTGTAACTGGCTGGAGCGATTACGTCAGATTAAGCGCGTGCACTCAAAGGCTGCGGCTGAAAACTCCTCGGTCCCCAGTAGTCCAACAGTACGGAGGGTGTCTCCGTCCGTAGGACTGCGCATGTCGTCAGCACCGATCAGCGGTCTCACAGACTTTACAGAGTACATTATAAAATAATGCTGAATTAATGCTTATTATTGTGGGAATGAAATTCAATGAGGTGTCCTTTGAGGGCAAGGTTTTTTCCTCGAAAGTCTAATTCAGTGCTTGAAACCTTTTCCGATGAAGAAGCTTTGAAGAAACGAAAGAATCCTTTGAAATATCGTTTAACCCTTTACTCGCTTACATCAGAATGCATATTCTCCATAGTGTTCTCTATACATCTTCTAAGGTGCTGACAAGGAACATTTGTTTATCAATCAAGAGTTTTTTAAGCTGGTGATTATTTTCTTTATTCTCGTGACCTTACTGTATGATTCAGGCGTGATAGTTTAGGGAGAATAAAGATGTTAGTCACCAGCGGAGGTTGAAGGGTTAACATAGATGGTTATGAAGAGAATCAAGCCCTTCGTTTTAGAAGGAGGGAAAACGATAGCTGTAAACAGAAAGGACAGGAAAACACCTTCTTGGGCTGGATTGCAAAATATTCACCGTACTTCATTATTTATTCATTAACTACGGACCGCAATCGCAGTTTAGATTCCTCATAGGGACTCATCTTTCTCTAGACCTCTCTATATTCGCACTCGTTGCGGCAGTGCGGGAGAGCACGATTAATGCATTTTTCATCGCGTATTTTGCAATCGTTCCTTTTCTTGAATATTCTAAGGCGGCGTCTTACACAAATAGATGTATATATCAATAATTTTGATGATGATTTACTGTTTTAATAGGGCGTAAGAAAAGGAAATTACCAGAGATATGTAAATGAAGAAAAGACGCAAAGATTACAAACTTATTGTGTTTAATAATAGAAGAAATATACATATCTATAGTCACTCTTACCTACCGTGCAGTTGTTTTCAGGAGTCACTCAAATATTTAACTTGTTCCAAATTTGTGGTCGTGCTGAATGATAGACATAGATATTCAGAAATGACGGGGATGTCTCTTCATCCTACTTATAACCGGACGGATACGGTGCCCAGATAGGGCCGTAGAATACGAGCAGACATTTTGCAGTTTACTGATCAAGAGTGGCAGAAGACAAAGTCCAACATACGTCAATTATCCCTTATACAGAGACAGTTTCGGCGATAGTAGCAAACTCATAACACTGATTACCTCAAATGAGACCAATCTTTAAATACGCTGTCTTGAAAGGAAAAGCAAATCGAAACGGGGCTTGAAATGATAAGGGAATCCTTTCATAGCGTGTCCTATTTCTTCGTATTTGGTTATCTTCAGGTGTTCCTCCGCAAGGTGATCGCCTCGGCCTCTTTGGAGTTCTGTCCCAATGAAGCAAGCCATGGTATTGTCAGGGATGTCACATGTAATGGTTAAGCTGTTTGCTCCATGGGTTTCGTGGAAAGTTCTTCCATACAGTGGCAGAATCGCCCTGCAGTTTGTCCTTCATACAGTCACATTTTTGATAATCACCCGCATCACGGTTTGTTGGCGTTGTTTCTTTTCAAGTAGGCAACGCAATGGCAGAAAATACGTTTCTTTCTCTCGGAACTTTTTATGGAGACGTCTCCGTTATCAGTTTCGCGGCAGGTGGCTTGGGTGCCGTACTAGGTGCCCTTTATCACTCAGGTTTGTGTTTAGGAGTTACTCAATGCGAATAGCTTTGGAAAATGAAATAGGGTTTGAGATAACGGGAATTACGAAACTTTTCCATGTTCCATCTCCCCAGCCCCTCATTATCTCTTGAACGAATTGATTTTTTCAAGGACTGAATGGAAAATTAGGCAAATTAGGGAAGAAAGGAGATAACCTAGACACGAATTTGCATCGCAAATAGATGGGAATGCTTGGATGAGTATCAGTAAAAGCTGTTTACTGAACTGATAACGATCTACATTACATGACTAAGAATTTGAAAGAGAGTGTACGTGGCTAAAGTCAAACAGTAGTTTGAGCCGATCAGTGCGAGTAAAATTATTACTCCACTGCGAGGATATTGAAACAGATTCCTACATTTTAGGAGTTGAAGATACGTCCCAATGATGAAAGCTTCCCTGGGGGTCGGGGCTATGTTTCCCTGAAAAATTGATCTTACTTCTGAGTGGAATTTGAAGGCGGGTACTTTCCCCAAAGCCAAACTCATCTCACCCCCTTCCCCCCCCCCCCCTTTCCTTTCCCTGTGCACTGTGCTGTGTCGTACCTACTGCAGAAATGATTATGGATATAGGTAATTTGTAAAACTGACCACAGTTTTGTTCAATTCATATATAATGCCTTTTGTTTTACAGGTATATTAGCATGGACGTATGTTCTGCTTAGAATTACAGAGTCATTCCTCATCACCACCACGTTCTTCTTCGTCTTTATGTATGCAGCCTTGGACCAGTCTCAGCAAGCAACTCTACTCGTTTCCTGATGTTGATTACGATTCTTTTGGCGATCAACACATATTCGTGCCCCTAGGTTACCTCTTCATGCATTACTTTGCGGATCGCCTCTCGATTCACACGATCATCCCAATATTGGCACTCCCAGACAAGGCCCACGATCCCATTGGTCATTACACTTACTACTCGCTCGCTCACGATATCGGCTCACTGATTGGACGCTCCTACCTTCTACTCCTTTCAATCACGTGTCCATGTGTAGCCAGTCATGCGCAAATCAAACACACCTGGATACTAGCTGCTGCTGGCAATATTATGATGTTTTGTTTCATGTATTTATCATGGTTTCACTCTATCGTTAAAGTGGAAGTCATCCTAGTTTTATGCTTCGTTTTTGGCGTGATCACAGGTAGCCAGTACGCAAACTCGCCTCTTTTTATAACTGAACAAGTCAGGGATGTAACAGAAAGAGAGTTCGCGCTAGGCATACTCACACTGGGATCATCTGCCGGAACATATGCCGCTGGGATTGTTCTTGAAGCCATATTTAACTCAGCACTGTCTGTTTGTGTTAGGTAAGAACTGTCCAAAAGATTTTTCAGTTTCGAAGGATGGATCGAAAGCGCACACTTTTGATGACACCACATAAAATACTTCAGGATTGAAATATGTCCTTGGCTATGGGGAACAAGCTTTTCACTGATAAGAGAGTGTGTTCGTGGCAGTTATATATATATATATATATATATATATATATTTATAAACAAGAAAAATAGATGCATGCTGCGTGCTGACCAGTTTCTGAGACTGCTTAAAATACAGCAGGCTGCATTGTTATTTGTATCTTTTTCTTAAATTTCCATGTTTATTGTTTTTGTTCCAGGCCGAGTCCGTAAAAGCAATTCGACGTGATGGCAAATGGCGCGATCTTAGCGGTGTAGTAAAAAAACGAGAGAGGTCTGGGTTGGAGAGTGAAGAGACGAGTGGGGTCTGGGTCAGGTTGTTTACGCTTCCTTTTTGTCGCTCCTCTGCTACTACCTCTGCTACTATCCTGCCGTTTGTTTATTTCCCTCCATTTTATTGACTAAACATCTGGAACAGGGCAAAAGGGAACCTCTGCATCCCATCAGAGGCGTTTCTATGGAAACTAGACAGCTTATGCATGACGAAACAGGAGGTATATACCTCCACCACTATATACCTAAATCCTGGAGGGAACACAATGTCCCAAACAAACTTCTTTCCCTACTTCAAATTTTCCCAATTAGGTATTTTGCTAAATGAAAGTCAATCATGCCCACCAGCCATTTATTCTAAAATTAAGAGGGCACAACTCTGAATGAAGTTCCAACACTAATTTGTGTACCAGTAACTTATACATTTTAGTGTTGCCCAAATGTGTATCAATTCAAGAAAAAAATATCAAACAACAAGTGTTCTGTTATTTATATTTATTCTAAAATTAAGAGGGCACAACTCTGAATGAAGTTCCAACACTAATTTGTGTACCAGTAACTTGTACATTTTAGTGTTGTCCAAATGTGTATCAATTCAAGAAAAAAATATCAAATAACAAGTGTTCTGTTAATTGCTAATTTCTTTCAATAAATAAATTTACTAGGCATCGGTATATAAATAACAACCATCAAGAGGACAAAAGTTCTTCCTACAGACTCGAAGTAATCTCAAAAGTGACACACAATTATGAAGGCTTGAACTTGAACCCTTTTCACTTCCAAGAAAAAAGGTAAAAATCATCTGTGAAATTTTGCCCATGGAAGGGTTCTCTACCTCATTTGAAGAGCATATGACACTCAACTATGTTAAAAACCTTCAAAGGCTCTACTCGTAACTTGCCAATCTTTCAGAAATACTTTCCTCCCTTTCCCTTAGGACTTTTCTACTGATACGTTATGGAACCTCCTTCTTAAACCTTAAAGCCCACTTTTTACTTAACAAAAAGAACAACAGCAAACTGATAATCCACACCCATAACAATTTTTTTAACAGATTTACATTTACTTGCAACTTCGTGAAATGGATCTGAATTGAAAAAGAGAAAAGAGCAAGTAGATTAATTATTGGAGACATGTTTATACCTGTATATGTTATATCCAATTGTATGGACGTATTTGTGCTGGTTTGTTTCTCTACGGCTTTAGTGCGTTGCAAGAATAACTTATCCATACCTTGGTCTCACTGGTTGCACCACTTTACCATCCTGTTTATCATATATATGAATGAATTGAGAAAATATTTTAATTAGTGCCTGAATTTTTTGAAGTTTGTAATGCAAATTAAAACTTCACTGGTTTTGAATTTGGTGAGCCACACCACTTACCTGTGCTTAAGAGAGGCTTTGTGGAACTGCATTTGTCCCAGTCAACAATGCCTGCAAAGTAAAAGAGAAGTAACTTTCGGAACTAACTGCTGAAGATCATAAGCCACTCTGTTGTTTTCATGTTCCTGTCAGTGGTATGAATGCGCATGTGCTTTTCTTACCATTATGACCTGATGCGCCTTGTTGCATTGTCTTCATAATAAAACTTTGTCCGAGGCTGCGTTGATGAAAATCGTAAACGCAACCCTACTTACATTTATGTTGGACTCTCCTTTACAGAATCGGCGTGTCTCTGATGTGTCAAATTAGTTTATTTTAAATTACAGTATGTGGGTTTGTTTCCATACCATTTTAAGAACATGCTGTCGAATTGTCGTATTTTCCATCATAACTTGCAATCTTTTTCTATTCCTGAAAAGGAAAATAAATAAGAAATTAAAGAGAAAATTGATTCATGGAAAGTAATATTTGTACGAACAAATTTTTTTCTCGTCATGTAGGCGTACTTTAAAAATAAACAGATCTCTCTCTCTCTCTCTCTCTCTCTCTCTCTCTCTCTCTCTCTCTCTATATATATATATACATATATAGAGAGGGAGATCTCTGGAGATCTCGCTATCGACATTACTGATCCTAGCAGTATGCAGAACGCGTGTCATATGAACTTCTTTTTCTCTTGAACGAACTGATTTTTTTGAAGGAATGTATGGAAAATTAGGCAAATTAGGGAAGAAAGTAAGGGGATAGTCTAACCTACACACGAATTCGCATTGCAAATAGATGGGATGCGTAGATAAGTATCAGTAGCAGCTGTTTACTGAATCGATAACGATCTACATTATTAATGAAACCACGATCTCATTAGACATTACGCTTACAAATCGCTCGCTCACGATATCGGCTCACTGATCGGACGCTCCTACCTTCTGCTGCTCTCAATCGCGTTTCCAAGTATAACCAGTCATGCGCAAATCAAACACACGTGGACACTAGCTGCTGCTGGTAATATGCTTCGTTTCTGGCGTGATCACAGGTAGCCATTACGCAAACTCGCCTGTTGTCATAACTGAACAGGTCAGGGATGTAACAGAGAGAAAGTTCGCGCTGGGCATATTCACATCAGGATCATCCGCTGAAACGTATGCCGCTGGGCTCCTAGGATTGTTCTTTAGTGAAAAAATGAGGGAGGTCTGGGTCGGAGAGTTAAAAAACGAGGGAGATCTGTGTCAGGTTTTTTATGCTTCCTTTTTGTCGCTATGCGCTATACCTTCACCACAATATACCTCATCCTGGAGGGAGCTCAATGTCTCATGGGCTAACACATTGCAAACCTCTTCCCCTACTTTAAATTTCCCCAACGAGGACTTTTTGTGAATAAAAATCATGCCCATCAACAATTCATTCTAAAATTAAGAGGGCACTATTCTGAATGAAGTTCCAACACAAAT